CAGCCCTTTTTGCTTTGACAGGGGGCCAGGAGGATTTGCAGAGTGCACGGCCTGGCTTTGTGCCCAGGGAAGGGCATTTCTGTCCTGTTTCCATGAGGGTACTTCCAGAGGAGGCTGAGGCTGCCCCACATAGATATGGGGGGACTGTGCTTACTGTCAGCCCCAGTGCTGTCTTTCTGGAGCCCATTGAACCGGGGCCTGTTGAGGAGTTGCTGCAAGCTTTAAACCAGCCCTGGTGAGCCTTGGGGAGTCTAAAATCAGTGGGGAACAGCTTGTGCTGGGCACAGCACCATTTTTGAAAGCACTGTAATGCTAAATGCAGCTGCTGGTTGGACCTGGGGGCATGGAGCGGTGGCAGCCTTGCCTTTGGCAGGCTGCCATATCTGGCCCCATTCGCTACCAAAAGCCCTTTCCACCTCTTCAGACTGGCTCCAGAATTTATATGAATTTATATAATTGAGTTTATATGAATTTATATGGTTGAGTTTATAAATGCTCTGTGATGGGACCAAGGACCCCAGGCTCTGTCCAAAGCCTTCCCACCTGTGCCCAGCTCGTGTTATTTATGTGATGTGATCCGGGGTGGGTTCCCACCCTGAGGAAACCCCTGGCCCGAGGCAGCAGCTTGGAAGAGGATACAGGAGAGGAGGTGGCTTTGTATAGAAGTCCTGTGGCCACAGGGCTGTAATAGTAGTATCTGATCGTGCATTTTCCTGCAGAGCCAGACAAGAGCGTTTTTTCCATTGGCCACCTGTTCCCGTAGCTGGGTCACCCAAATAGCAGCTCATGTTCTGGAGACAGAAACTCCTGGAGCTGTTCTGCATGACAGGCCCTGTGTGCTCAGGGCAGGAGGCAGCTGCTGCTTTAACAGCCAGGACGTCCTTCTCAGCCCATTCTTGGGCTGATTGAGAGGCTTGTCATGGGTTATAACGTCTGCCTCTGTTTCTGCTAGATGTAAATGAGAAATGAGGCATAGCCCAGTGTACAGGGCCCTCTCTGCACGTAAAGGTTTGTTTGGTTAGCTGCCTGTTTGTGCAAACTGCTATTAAAAACTCGAGGTCTCACTGTTGCCTCTGTGTTTCCCAGTGGCCAGAGCAGCATCGCTGTATGTAGCAGTTGGGAGAGTTCAGCCTCTGAGACTGTTCATCTCCCTATAGCCAAAATACTCATCTGTCCAAGTAAGACTCAAATTAAATACTAGGATAAGCCCTGCAGTGGGGAGCTCCTCAGCCATTCCCGGCTCACTGGTGATGCTGCAGCATCCCAAGCAGAGCGACTGGTTTTGCTCTGACATGTCCAGGCAGCAGGAGTTACGTTTCTGCTGCCGGTAGAGGCTGGTGTGTCATTAAATGGTTAGGGGAAAGGCAAATCAGCGTCCCCAGGGGTTCTCCTGATCCTTCTGGCTCTGCAGAGCCATCTTCTGGGGATCCTCATCTCTGCATGCTGCTCCATCCCTCTCCCGTCGTAAGGCATTTGCAGTCTCCCATATATTTTTGGAAAAGACTTGCAAAAATGATTGATGGGAACTCCCTGCCTTAGAGTGAAAAATGATGTTCAGGCTCGACTCGGAGAGGATGATGAGCTGATGAGTGTACAAGTGTCTTTCCATGGAGAAAACAACTGGGTACTGAAGAGATGTGAGAGTCAGAGTATCACTGTAATGGGAACATATTGAGCTTTGTAAGTAATCTCATTACTTATTTTAGCCGCCTACCGCCTTGTTTCTTAGAATACAAATAGTACATTTCCAAGCTGGTTCAGAATAGCAATCACAGCTGTCAGCAGACACTCCTGAACAGAAGAAATTCCTTAATTGTAATAGCAGGGAAACTGAGCAGAAGTCACGTGTAGCTGTTTCAGAATGTATGGTGAGAGCTTTCCCCAGCGAGACCTCTTGCAGGAGAGGACAGCTTGGGCTGTCCCCGTGGTGGCACCGTGCTGAAATGTCCTGAAAGCTCACGGCACAGTTGAGGTGGCACACGGGAGAAGCGGCCGTGGGTTTCTGATCCTTTTTGGAGTCTGAATGTTGACATGAGGAGTGGGACTGGTGAAATCCAAACTCCCCCTTTCTGCAGGGATGCCTCGGGTGGCTTCGCAGTGATTTCTAAAAACTGCTCGTTTGGGAATATCCACAGCTGTTGCTGAGCGAGCAGGGCGGTGCTGAATGGCAGCAGCCCAGAGTTATGGCACAAAAGGGAAGGAAAATGTCTCTTGCTGCACTCCACGAGTTCAGTCCTTAGCTCAAGCCAGCAAAACCTGCGGTTTTGGTCAGTCTGAAAGTGGTGTTAAAATACACTGCGCTCCTCTTCCAGATCTCCTGCACGTCGGGGGAGGTAGCTACATCAGTCCACTGATGCCTGCTGTTTCTCAGCCAGCCAGAGCAATTGCTGGTGTAGTTCACTTCTCTTGGATGCCCTCCACTGTCTGGCTCAGGCAGCCAGGTGACTCTCTCTGCTGCTCACTGCTCAAGTCCTTTTCTTCATTTTCCTGTGAGGGTGAAGCAAAGTGGGGCTTTACCTCAACTTTTCCACTTGTGCGAGTTTGATTTGTGCTTGACCTTGAGGCCAGTGCTTCGGCACTGTAAACTGGGACTAACCTTACCATTGGCTTTCTCCTCAGGTCATCATCGAACGCTATAAAGGGGAGAAACAGCTGCCAGTGCTGGACAAGACCAAGTTCCTTGTCCCAGACCATGTCAACATGAGTGAATTGGTCAAAATAATCCGGTGAGTGGTGGGGTGAGGATGAGGCAGCTGCCGAGGGTGGGGATGGAGACGTGGCAACCACAATGTCCTTGTGTTGTGCTGCAGACAGTTATGGGGTCGGGAGGGGCAGGTTCTTAGTGTCTGGTGAAGGACACTGACCTCCTCACGGGGACACTCCATGAGCTGAGGAGGGGTCTCCAATCCCCTTCTGTTACATGTGGGCCTGGCCCCACGTGAACAGCATTGCTGTGGGGAGGTAGAACTTGCTGCCACAGTGCCTGCCCCAGGGGGCTTGACCCAGGCCCTCCTGCCCTTGTCCCCACAGGCGCCGCTTGCAGCTGAATCCTACCCAGGCTTTCTTCCTGCTGGTGAACCAGCACAGCATGGTGAGCGTGTCTACTCCCATCTCAGAGATCTACGAGCAGGAGAAGGACGAGGATGGCTTCCTCTACATGGTCTATGCTTCCCAGGAGACCTTTGGCTACTGACGCCTGCTGAGAGGCGGCACGTGCAGACGTGAACTGTGGCGCACAGGCCCCCGGCCTTGGAAGACAACGCGACCAGAGGCTCGCAAGAGAGGGACTGTGCTGACTCCCTTTTTCTCCCTCCCTCCCCTTCCCATCACCCCGTCACCAAAGAGGCTCGTGACGCGTGTTGGACTCGCACAACCCTTCACCTCCGTGTAGATCAGCCCCGCTCCCTCCACACGCGCGCACGCATACGTACAGACGCCCACACGCGCGTACGTGGGGCCTCGGCTTCCCGTCCCACCTCCTCCGTGTATCCTTCAGCTGCTCTCGCTGTGCTGTGTCCGTGGGTGTGTGTGTGTCCGTAGCCTACTGCCAAAACAGCTCGGCTGGCGATGGAGAGCGGACAGGACGCTGTCGCCTTCGCTTTCAGCACAGGGAGAGCCGCCTCTCCTCCAAGATGCGAATAAAAGGCAGGAGGGCTACAAAAGAAGCAGACAGATATTCCCGTCGCTCCCGAGTTTTAATTGATTTTAATTACACCCATATCAGATCTTGGTGCTACTGAGTAGATGTAGGCGTCTCTGTAGGACTGTGGATAATGTATATCTTTTAGATTTTATTCTACTGGGTTGGTTTTTTTTTGTTGGTTGTTTTTTTTTTTAGGGCTAGATTGGAATGGGGAGAGGGGGTAATCTTTCCTGTATTCTGTAGGTAAACGAATCGGGCTTCATTGCACTTTAAAGCATAGTAGATGTCAGAGTGGAATTTACTTTTAATTTATACAGGTTTGCCATACATAGTGCTGCTCCTCTGTTGACAGTTGTACCGAAATTGTCTTTGTTTCTTCTTTTTTTTTTTGTTTTTTAATAAAATTGATTTCCCTTCTCTCTGTCTCCCCACTGCATGCAAATTTTCAGTCTCAGTGTGGCAGAGTTTGCTCCAGGAATGTACTGATTTATATTTGCTATGTTCCCCTTCCCGTTTCTCATGTATTATACCAAAAAAAAAAATGTGTATGATAAAACCCCACCCAGTTTAATCTATACAAAGGTATATATATATATATAAAATAAACATAAATTCGAGTCGTGTCTTGTAGGAATGTTCTGTTCCCATCTCATTTGTCTTTGTTAATGTTTCCAACCAAAGGCAGGGGCTGATGGCCGTTTAGCATCTCAGTGGGTTTCCCTGCTCGCTCTAATCCCTCTGCACTGCCCAGCACGGAAGGGTTTAGATTCTGTTTGCTTGGCATGAACCAATTTTTAGCACTGGGCTACTGCAGCAGACCCAAAATGCCCTCGATGGTGATGGATTTTTGCTATGGGAACTGCTTTTGTAAAATAAGGTGGTTTTCCATACCTGCTTTCCATATTCCCTGGGAATCTTTGGTCACTTCCTACCTTTTCCTAGAGACAATTTCTCCAGCAGGAACAGTCAACATATCTTTCCATAAGTGACACGAGATTGAACCATTGGACTGTTTGTAAGGCCGGTGGTTCATGTGGCTGTCATGCTGCATCTTTGGCGGCAATATCTGTTGACTATTTCTTATCTCTTCATTTGTCCTCCTGTCAGTATGGGTTGGCTGATGAATGATAACACATTTCTCTGGAAGTGTATAGCGTCTAACAGTTCAGTAATTTGAGGTGCATTTGATGTTTTACTTCCACTAGAAGTATAAACCCATGCAACTTCCATAACCTCGGCCCTCCCACTATGACCAGTGGGTCAGGGGAGGGGATTCTCCTCCTCTGCTCCACTCTGGTGAGACCCTGCCTGCAGTGCTGCATCCAGTCCCACCATAAGGACATGGGAGATGATCAGAGGCCTGGAGCACCTCTCCTACAAAGACAGGCTGAGAGCTGGGGTTGTTCAGCCTGGAGAAGAGAAGGCTCTGGGGGACCTTATAGCGGCCTTCCAGGACCTGAAGGGAGCCCACAAGAAAGCTGGGGAGGGACATTTTACAAGGGCATGGAATTATAGGACAAGAAGTAATGACTTTAAACTGGGACAAATTTAGACTAGATATTAGGAAGAAATTCT